TCACCCTCCGCATCTCTGGTCTGTACCCCGTTCTGTGTAAATAAATAAATCTTTAAAAAAAATTTATTTATTTACACATACAAGAACTGAGGTGCAGGCCAAACGTGGGGATGGGAGGGTAAGGGTGAGAGGATTCACAGAAATAGTGGCGAGCAAAACAGAGATCTACTGAAATGCACTGCTGGGGGGAGCAGCAGGGGGACAGAAGAGGTCTGCTGCACTGTGTGGGTCACTTTGCTGGCCGAGTACAGCGGCTGCAGATAACTTCATAGTGCTACACTTTAACCCTTTGCACCACCAGGGAGGGCAATACAATTTTATTGATTGCCATTTTTTTTTATGAAGCTATGTAATTTGGGGAACACACATGTACACATGCTTCACCCCCCTCTCCCCTCAGCTCCTGCTTTATCCTTTCTGAGAAACACCACATTTTTCAGTCTGGAGTTATTTTTGTTGTATTTACTTTGATTATTTATATTCCACAAATGAGTAATACCATCTGATAATTGTCTTTCACTTTCTGACTTGCTCCACCCAGCATCATCCCTTAAGGTCCATCCCTTCTGTCCCAGAAGGCATTTTTCATCATTTTAATGGCTGAGTAGTATTCCAGTGAGTATCTATTCCACAGTTTCTTTATCTACCTGCCAATCAATGAGCTTCAGGTTGATCCATATGTTGGCTATTGTGAATAATGTTGCTCAAATATGTTGTGTGTTTTTTTTTAAGATTTATTTATTTATTCATACAGAACTGGGGTACAGGCCAGAGATGCAGAGGGTGAGAGGATTCACCAGGAACAGGGTGGGGAGCAAAAGAGCCAGATCGTTGAAGTACACTGCTGAGGGGAGCAGCATGCGGGTCAGGAGAGGTCTGCCACGCCATGTGGTCACCTCCTGGGCAGGCGGGAATGGAACTCATGCGGAAGTGGCTTAAGCTTCTTAGTGCAGTGCTTTAACCTGCTGTGCCACCAGGGAGAGCCCCAAATATGTTTTTAATTGAATTGATTTGAAACAAATTTACCTGGAGTTTCTTGAGCTATCTTTCACTAGAGGAGCATTATACTGGCCATTACTAGACTCACTGCTTCCTTCATTATCCATGTTTTTTTGTTCATTGATTTTATCACTTACTAAATAGTCCTAACAGAATCTGCTATATCATGCATTGTATTAAGAAACAATGAAAAGATTCAGTTAAGAGAACAGGAAATAGAGGGTAATATCAGTAGCTATGGGAGCACACTCATTTTAAGGCTTCCTGGACAGATGATCCCTGAACAGATTATTGAAGAATGACTGTGAGGCCTTCAGGCAAAATAAGAGAAGTCAAGTTCCAGAACAGGTCCGTTGAGCTAAGTATTTAACACAACTATTCACATCTGATCCTAATAAAAATCAGGAGCGAGAGATATCACTATTATAGATAATATCCACTTTATAGACGAGGAAAGTGAGGCTCAGAACAACTAAACACCATCTCCAGGGTCATCGGTCTGGCAAGTGACCCAGCTGGGTCCGACTCTGAGTGGACACCCCCAAGACTGTGCTCTTGACCACTGTACTGCCATGCAAGAATCCTTGTTCTTAACCCAGCTCTCTCTTCTAAAAGACTCCCTAACTATTGCATACACTGCCAGTATTCCATCTGTTTCTTTTCAGCCCTCCCCAGAGCAGGCCCCAGACATCTTCTGTTCAGCCTTCATGCTGTGTAAATACCTGCTTGTTTAGATATTGGGGCCTGGCCTTTGGCTGCAGCTCAGTGGAGGTGACCAAACCTTTCGGCTGTGGGCAGAAGCCCAGCTTACAACCTGAGGTGATGGATTCTTCTGGCTCAGTTATTGCACCTCTAGAAGTGTCAACATCAACTAAGTCTGTAGCCTGTTCTCTCCAAGTTCCTCCAACCTGCCAACTAGACTTATGTGCCCTCAGGGACTCCCTAGCCCTTCCACTTGCCTTCACCTCAGCCATCGAGGACTCCGCCAACTTGGCACTGGAACTAAGGGCCACAGGAGTTGGCAGTGGTAATGGAGGCTGGCAAGTCACAGCAAGGAGAGGGGTCTTTGACACATTTGCTACATCAGCGTCTACTACTTCCCGCTTCTACCAGAGTGTGCAAAAAAGATTTTTGTCTTTCTATGTGCATTTTTTTTTAATTTTTTTTAAGATTTATTTATTTATTCATACAGAACTGGGGTACAGGCCAGAGTTGCAGGGGCAGTGAGAGGATTCACCAGAGACAGAGCGGGGAGCAGAACAGGCAGATCGACGAAGTACACTGCTGAGGGGAGCAGTGGGCGGGTCAGGAGAGGTCTGCCGCGCCATGAGGTCACCTCCGGGGCAGGCGGGAATCGAACTCATGCGGGAGTGGCTTTAGATTCTCAGTGCAGTGCTTTAACCCGCTGCGCCACCAGGGAGGGCCTCTCTGTGCATTTTAAAAAACTTCGTAAAGTGGATCTTAATTTCTCATCTATGAATTCTAGTTGTCCACGAACCTCCCCAAAACAATTTTGTATGTATATACATATGCATATTTTTCCCAAGAGTTCTTCATTATCTAAAACACTGAAAAAAAAATCAGAATTAGTTAGTGAAAGATTCATCCTGACAGTCCTAACTTCCCAGCAGCCTGACAAAGCTTGGCTCACATTTCAAACACTATGGAAATGGGGGTTCTCACTGTTGGTGTAGAGTCACGCCACCTTGGATGATGTTAAATAGAAAACTTTTTCTTTTTTTTTAACAGAAAACATTTTAACAGTCTTTAACAACAATAAGAAAAGAACAAAATGCAGCTGTAGTGCAGGCATGCACACAGCATGTTCACTGTGGATTCGGGCAGACAGAAAGGGGCATCCTGGACCCTGGACAGCATTAGAGGCGTTTAATGAGCCCTCAGGGAGCCAGGCACACAGGCACATGCCAGGCAGGGGGCCAGGGGACCGGAGTCTAGCAAGTCTCAGCCCCTAGCAAACCTTTCCTCTTTCTTTGGCATTCCTTCTGGCATTCCTTCTGGCAGTCCCCCCTCAGGGTGACCCTGCCCTTCTAGCCCAAGCCTCTTGACACAGATGTGAGCTCTCACACATGGGCACACCCGCACTCGGGCCCAGGTGTCCATAATCAAAGGTGTGCATGACCCAAGCCCACTCAGTCCTGGGCATCCACTTTAGTGGCAGGAAGACATGAAAAAGCCTGATTACTTCATTTACCCCCAGCATCCTTCCTTCCTCTGCACCCCAACCTCTGCCCTTCTGCTTTCCTCTGCGTTGAAGTGTGGGTGCTGTTTTGGGCAAGCAAGCTAGTGGCAATGGCTGTTGACTAACATGCAGGTTTGGTCACACCTGGACTTTGGGGGGGCTGGGAGGGATGGCTGGTAAAACATGCAGTGGCAACTTGGAGGTCCCCAGGAAGCAGCACCATACAGTGTGAGCAGGTGAAGCTGACCCCACTGCCCACCTGGCCATGCGCTTGGCTCAGGTGCTGCGCTGAGGAATTCCGACCCCTGCCCCTCACTCCTCACTTTCCACAGTCACCCCCTCACCTACAGGGTGGGTGACACCCTCCTGTGCAGATCTTCGCCCACCTCTCACACGCGGTCACACCTCTGGCCCCAGAAAACAGGCTGGCCCAGAGAAAAGGTGTAGACTAGGGGAGCTGGAAGGGTCACCACAATGACAGGTCAGAGATGCCCAAGGGCCATGTGGGCCAGCGGAGGAAAGCAGCCTTGACTGAAGCGTGATGACACAGAAGTGACAGGATGACCACTTGGATGCTGGAGCCAGTATTTCAGGGTTGGAATCCGGACTCAACCACTTATGGTGTGACTCTGGATGAGTTATGTAATCTTTTTGGGCTTTAATCTCCTCGTCTACTAAGGAAATATTAAATGCACCTACTTAATATTAAACGAGACCACCTTCAGTGCCTGGCACAGACTGTGAGCTGAGAAGTAATAATTACCAGCTGATAGCATCATGATCCACATCTTCATCACTGGGGACTGAATTCTGTCCCTCCCACAAAAGATGAAGTCCCAACTCCCAGGGCTTGTGAGTGTGACCCTATTTGGAAACAGGTCTTTACAGATCGATCAAATGAAGATGAGGTCATACAGGAGAGCGCTAACCCACAATGACCGTGTCCTTACGAAAAGGAGCAGTTTGGACAAAGACAGACACACCAAGAGAGAAGACACAAGGAAGCTAGTAAGAAACATGGGCTAGATCCTTCCTCAGCACTTAGAAGGAACTCACCCTGCCAATGCCCTGATCTCAGATCTCCAAGCTTATGAAACAATAAATTTCTATTTGTTTAAACCACTGTTGGGTGAGTGATGGCTGCTCAGGCTTTGCAGGGCTGGACATTGTGGCCATCACCTGTGGCTTGAATGCAGGAGGCGCCTGGAACTGTGGGCTTCGGACGTGCGTGCCTGAATGCAGACGCCTGGAGTATGGCGTGGGCGTGCGGACGTTGGCACACTGAGTGTGGCTAAAGAGGAAAGAGCACAGAGGTTCGCGGGGGACCCAAGTTGCTGTCTTCCTGCAGGCTTCTTTTCCTCTAACCTGTGGGGATGACGCTAGGGGCTCCAAGCTTCTCTTTTAAGCTGCCTGAACCAGCAACAAACCTACCCTGCCTGAGCAGCTGTCCTGCAACTACCCCGTCTGGAATACTAGAACTTAATAGCATCATCATCACCCAGAATATCCACCTTTTGCTTATGCCTTCTAATGATAGATTGGATGGCAAAGCACCGGGTCAGATTCAGTGATGGTCAAATTCATTTCAGCAGCAAGGTGGTGCTGGACTCGGCCATCCTAGCATCCCTTGGTGTACTCGAGCTCTGGTGCCATTCAAGCTACCCAAGTCCCTCTGCCTTTTCCTTCACAGTAGCCCACTCCATCCCCCTGCGCCAGAGAAATGTGTTGTATTTTACTTCTCACTGTCTGAGGTTCTGGGACTGGCTTCACTCACTGTCTGTGTGTTTGCCCTCTGTGTTAGATCATCGTGCTGTCCACGAGACTTCTGAAGCCACTCCACATTCCGGAGCTGCTCTTTGCCACTGACCGGCTGCATCCAGACCTTGGCTTCTGAGCTTCTGTGGAGATGAGACCCACCTGAGCTGGGATATACTTGCCTGTCACCACTCAAGACACGCCCAGTCTAAGGTTCCCATTACTAGTTGCACGGACGGACTTGGCCCTTGGGAATGGATTGACAGTGAAGTACCATGCTTGATTGCTGCATTTCCTAAAATGTTGTGTTTTGTTTTGTTTTTTTCCTAGAGGCATTAAACTGTCTCTCAGCTGACCTAGTTAGTGATAATTCTCCTTAACCGTCTCCTTAACCCTCTGTTTGAGATTTTCCTGCCTTCACCTGCAAGTTGATGAATTCTAAATACCTGCCTGTTGCTAGATCACAAGCTATTTGATGTGTAGTTGCTCAAGATGTTAGATGCGTTTTAGAATTATGAGTGTGAGGAAAGTTTGGTTTTTCTTAAGATTATATAACTGAGGAGGGACCATCACACGGAGGATCTGAGGCTTTGTTTTTCTCTTGATCTGAGATCTTGATTCTGCATGGCAGGGGAGGTGGCCACAAGGCAGGGCTGTAGTTTGCCCGCTGGAAATGGCATCCTGGCAAAAAGGGCTCAGTTGTTCTGCCTGCTCGGCTGGCAGAGCTGCCAGCCCACTGGAATAGGAGTCAGAGAAGTCAACTGAAGGGCCACTTCCCAACGGCACACCAAGGGAAGACCCCATTAAAGGCAACTGATCCCCAGGCTTTTGATTGGAACTCAACTCTGCGATTTTTGTGATTTAATTTCTATTGAAATACAGAACTACTTTTCCAGAAATTGGAAATTTCCCTTTGACATAAGCAGAAACACCTAGACCCACCAAATGAAATTATATAAGGATTTTGGCAATAGCGAAATGCTTGGAACCCATACATTTATAGGTGTGTGGTTGATGGAAAATTCTAGCATTTCTAAAAGATTTTTGTGATAGAGTTTAAGCTGAATAACAGTTCTAATGGGGAATAAACAGAGGAAATAAAATATAAACTAAACATTACATGTCTTGATTTTAATCCTCTACAGGCAACTGTCAGTTTATGAAAAACACTGAAGTTGGAAATCATCCTAAGACTGAATTAAAGCAAGTTTTACAGACACCCATGTTTTTCTTGCCCAAGTATCTTTTCCACCCCACATCAGGTCTTTCCAAGTGCTGAAATATTGCAGACTTTGGTTGCTTGTTTCATTCCACTAACCTAGAAGTTTTGAACTTAAATAAAGAAGAAAATAGCACAGTCCAAAAGGATAATTAAACAGACCTTGCTATTCTCTAATAATAAAAAAATTAAGAAGTAACCTGTTCAGTCAGTCATTCCCAGACAGGGGTGAGCACCTGGCATGTTGCAGGAGCTTGCCCTGCTTGGTTTCAGGCCTTGGGGCTGCCTGAGGCAGGCGTGTCCCTGACTTGGCTCTCACAGAAGAGCAGCTGCTGCTTCTGCTGATGCTGGAGCCTGTAACAGTTTCTACTTAAGATTAAGTTTTAAACCATATGTCAGTACACAGAGCAAACTCTAGAAATATCACAGCCAAACTGCTAACAAGCAGCTACCTCAGGGAAGGACCCTAGAATGTATGGGTTAAGAAAGGTATCCTGGCCCTCCCTGGTGGCGCAGCAGTTTAAAGCACAGCACTGAGAAGCTAAAGCCACTTCAGCATGAGTTCAATCCCCGCCCTGGAGGTGACCACATGGCGCAGCAGACCTCTCCTGACCTGCCCGCTGCTCCCCTCAGCAGTCTACTTTGTCAGTTCTGCTCCCCACTCTGTCTCTGGTAAATCCTCTCGCAGCCCCTGCACCTCTGGCCTGTACCCCAGTTCTGTATGCATAAATAAATAAATCTTTAAAATGAAAAAAGAAAGAAAAAGAAAGGAAAGAAAGGTATCCTTCAGTGTTATTTTAATTTTTTTTCTCAGCAAACATGTATTTGTGAAAATGTTAAAGTATCAATAGGAGAGTAATGTCTAATGAAAAGACTATTCACACTGAGGTTAGAAAATGGAAGCGGAATAACACATTGGTCCATAGTTCTAGCTTTTGAGGCTCTAGCATATTTTTACAAATATGTTTTAAAGATTTATCTTTATTTATGCATACAATAAGTGGGGTGTAAGCCAAAAGTGTGGAGAGGCAGGGAGGGGCAGAGTGAGAGGATTCACCAGAGACAGAGTGGAAAGTCGAACAAATGGATGACCTAGTGAAGTACAGAGCTGAGGGAGCAGTGGGTGAGACAGGAGAGGTCTGCTGCACAGTATGGGTCAGCTCCCTGGCTGGGGATCGAATTCATGCCACAGTGGCTAACAATAGCTTGATAACTGAGACTAACCCAGCACCACCAAGGAGGCCCTATTTTTTTCTTTGGAAAAAGAATTTTCAGAAGCTGCTAAAATGAAATGGTCAAAGGAGGAAGTTCCTGATTGTGAATGTTCATCTTTAAGTAAATACTTAAATGTGAAATATGGCTAAAGGCAGTCTCTGAGAGGTGGGGGCAAATGTCAAAAGTTTGGTTTATAATTTAAGAAGTTAGTTCATGGTATTTCCCCCATCTCTGTGGCCCCTAGTTGGAGGACTGAGCTAGGCAGGCAGTGCAATTGCATTAGAAGAGACTTTGCAGAAAAGGTGAGTTGGAAAAGGTTGGGGTAAGCAGAGTTTAGCTTGAATAAGAAGGTAGAATGCACAGTACAGAGTGAAGTCCCTTGTCATAAATCCTGCAAAGGGCCTTCAACAGGAAAAGAAAAAAGGAGGCTCAGGATATGCCTGGAACTGTTACAGGGCTCCCACAATAAGAAATGTGTTGCCTGACTGTGGGTCCTCACCTGTGTGTTTAAAGGAACTTATAATAAGACTCGACTGCAGGCACACAAAAAGGTTAATAAAGGGTTTATTTACAAAAGAAGGGGAAATAAATAACTCAGGGAAAAAGAGAGAGGGATGAGTTGGTTAATGTGTCCTACCAGTTCTGCTGAACTGGAACCCCAATAGCACGTTGAAAGTTGGCAAAAAGTCAAGAGTCAAGCCATGAGCTCTGAGGCCAAGAGCCCCCCCAAAGGCCCACATGTCTGGTTTTATGTCAAACCTGGCTGCTTAATTAACTCCACCCTCAGCAATCCTCCCTTTGGCGATGATGGGATTTGTGATTCCAGTGTCTGGAATGGGGATGGAGTCACAAAGCCTGTATCTGTAGAGATCATTCAGGACATCCTTCCCCCCTAACAGAACCTCTGAAGAACAGCCCCTGTGAAGGCACAATGGTTCAACAGAGACCTAGAGATTTCTCTAGCTCAGACTTCTGCATCTCAGTGTCTACATCTAAAATACAGAGGATAACGAACAGTATTTAGGTCATGAGAGGGCTGTCAAGGGCTGCCATTCCTAGCACCAGGGCCAGCACGTGACTCCAAGGAATGTGAGTTCATACTGCTGAGAACACCACAGAAGTTACCTCATGAAAATGATAAAGTGTCAACAGGAGAGTAATGTCAAGTGAAAAGACTATTCAGAGGCATTCCTGGGGTTCACAAGGAGGTTAGGAAATGGAGGAGGAATAATACATTGGCCCACAGTTCTGAGTGTAGCCCAGAGGCCAGAAGCATGCCTGCACCTCTCACCCACAGCCTAGGCTCCAATCCCCCCACACAGTAATTCACCTCTCCCATCGCAGTTGACTGTGAAATTAGACAGTGATAGACCTACTGCAACAACTGACAATTCAGAGAATTCATGTAAGTAAAGCACTTAGAAAATGGCACATGGCAGACTGGTGAAGTGCCTATAAGAATTGCCATCAGACCCTCCCTGGTGGCACAACGGGTTAGGAAACAGCACTGTCAGCGAGTAACAGCACCTTCAGTGCAAGTTCAATCCTAGGCCCCATAGGTGACCCATATGGAGCAGCAGACCTCTCCTGACTCACCCTCTGCTCCCCTCAGCAGTGTACTTCATCAATTTGCCTGTTCTCCTCCTGACTCTGTCTCTGGTGAATCCTCTCACGGCTCCTGCACCTCTGGCCTGTACCCCAGTTCTGTTTGCAAAAATAAATCTTTGAAAAGAAAGAATTGCCATCATAGGCAATTCCTGCAAGGCCCTCAGTATCTAATAGAACTTTCTCCATCACTAATGATAGCCCCGAAGTAGGTGAAGCAGGCCTGTGGTTTCTGAGGCTGACACCCTGATTTTATCATTTCAACCTCATGCAAATGTAACAATTCTAAAGGAATTTCCCCTACCAGGTGTTAGCCACTGAAGGTGGTTTAAAAGGGTAAGTAGTAGAGCTGGTTTCTCTGTCCCCATCCCTGTCTGAGTATTTACCACCTAAATTCTGGCTGGTTAGAGCCAAAACAAGCACATGCAAATGCAAATCTTCTGCCAATGATCTCACCGGCTACTCTATAAACACAATTGATGGAGGTGCAAATACTGCGTATTCATTGACTTCCGTCTTTGTAAACTCTCCTTCCCAGTCCACTTCCACAAACATGCCGGCACAACACAAGTGCTCAGAAGTGCTGGGAGCTGCCTCAGTTAAGAGTCGCCCCAGAGGGCCAGGGCCTGTGGAAATGACTCTGTTTACACCAGGGCCCTCCATTACAATGTTGTCCCAATAACAAAGAATTCCATGGAGCTCCCTCAAGACCACCATTATTTATTTTACTCTGGTTACTAGAAACAGAATCTCAACAACAAATAATCCAGTGTTACAAATGTCTGTAGTGCCGGCCTAAGAAATAACAAGAAAACTCTACCTCTATTTCAAACAGAATTTAAGAAGATAAAATTAGGAGATAGGGTACTTGAGAAGGAAGCATGGGGGGGAAGAGGAGGCTGTGCCTGGGATCTTGCCACAAGCACCCTAATTACCCTAATCCGGTTCTCACCAAAATGGGAGACTAAAGATGATTTACAAGAACGTTCCAAAATTTCCCTCTTTAGACTCCAAACACCAATTTTTGTGGGCTATTACAATAAGCTTCATAAATAAATAGCATTATAATGAAGTGTTAGAATGCCTTCTGGGCCTCCTCCCAGCCCTCAGGTATCAGCGCAGGAAGAGTCCTGTGGGACTCACAGGCTAAGGGCCCCTCGATGCTGAGGCAAGGCTCAGAGGTTCCCCGTGGTTCAGTTGAGGAATTTGCCCACAAGCTAGTTCATTTGCCTAGAAAACACATTTGTTGGGGTGTAAGAGGAATGTCGAAATCCCGCTTTTTCACCAGAACCAGGGACTCTATAAATACGCCCTTGACTGCCGCACCGGGCCTGGGAGCCGACGGGGCGGCTCCCTGGCTGGAAATGCCAGCGGGGCGAGTTGGAGCCGGGGCCAGGGCGGCTGAGTCCTCTCTGCACCCAGCGCCGCGCCAGCAGGCTGCAGGGTGTTCCGAATGGTTTTGATTGAGGCTGGGAGGAAACTCAAAAGCCAGACATCACGACAGACGGGGATCCGGTTCTGGGCAGACCGGCTGTGGGCTCCCCCCTCCCCGCCTCCTGGACGTCTTTATTGCCGAACTGGGACTTGAGGCCGGCGAGCAGCAGCTGATGGCCACAGCAGATGTGGCTGTGCCTGCCAGGTGGGCCTGCGCCAGGGAGGAACCCCAGACGGAAGCAAAAGCAAGCTGAGGAAGGCCGCGCAGTACCTCACCGCGCGAGGCTAGGGCGGGTAAGGGCCGCTCCAGCTCAGTCCTAGGAGACCTCCGGGCTCTTCCCTTGGAGGAGCCAGCGCTGGGCGGCTGTGGGGCCCCTACCCTTGGCTTTGGCCTGTGGCATCAGACAGACCTGGGTGACAACCCTGGATCTGCCGCCTAGGATTGGCCCCTTGCGTCATTCTGGTCCTGGTCCTTCATTCGCCTGGCTCTCTGCACAAAGGGCTGTGGATGGTGGGACAGGTGTGGAAAATGTAAATGATTTCAAACACCTCAGACCCTGGCACATAGGTTTTCAATCAACAAAAACAAACAATAATTGTTCCAACACACGCCACGTGGCCTAAAGCAGGTGATTTTTTTTTGTTAAAGACTTATTTATTTGTGCATACAGAACTGGGGTACAGGCCCCAGGTGCAGGGGTGGTGAGAGGACTCACCAGAGACAGAGGGCAGAGCAGAACAGGCAGATGACAAAGTACAATGCTGAGGGGAGCAGTGGGCCAGCCAGTAGAGGTCTGCCCGCCATGTGGGTCAGCTAGGGGCAGGATCCAACTGGTGCTCAGTGGCTTTGGACAGCTTCATAGAGCTGTGCTTCAACCCCTCCCACCCCCAGGAAGGGCTCTGTCTTCACACTTTTATACCGCCTACAAGCAACCCTCTATTCCAGACAGGCAGGAATCGAGCTCATGCTGAAGTGGCTTTAGCTTCTTAGTGCTGTGATTTAAACCCCTGCACCACCAGGGAGGGTCTAAAGCAGGTGATTTTTAATCTGAGTCTCATCTTTAAAATGGCAGTGATGTTATTACCTTTCTCACAGGAGCCTTCAAAAGACTAAAGGTGACACTATATAATCTGAGACATTGTAGATGCTCAATTAATTCTAATTTCTTCCTTCTTTCCCTGGCCTCTCCACACCTCTCTCTTCCCTTACCCCTGGCAAAGGAGGTGTTCCCTCAACATAGTGGGAGAGGGTTGCTTCTCAGTGCCGTGTTGGCAGTTCAGAAATTAAAAACAAAAACAAAAACATCAGGGATAAGAATAGAATAATCAAAGGATGAACAAAAGTAATGACACATGAAAGTAAATTCAAAAGAAAAGAAAAAGAACAATGTGTGTTCCAGAACTATAAATAGTCAAGTCAGCATGAGAGGAGACAGAACCAGGATAGGGTGGTTTCCAGATGGGTTTTCTCTCTTCCAAGGGCCTGGAACAAACCTCTCCAACCCTCTAGACTGACCAGGCCCCAAGGCGCCCTCCAGCCTGAAATTCTACAGTAAGTATGAGAATTGGGTGAGGGCACAGGGCCCACCTTGAAGGGCCAGCAAGTCAAATGTGTGAGCCCAGAGGTCAGAGAAGCAGGGAGCAAGTTGGGGGTGGGGGAAGAGCAGGAAAGCAGGGTGCCAGAAGGATATGGACTTGCCCTTCTCAAGCACATGGCAAGATGAAGTCCACAGGAAACCACTGTATCTTCTTTAATTCCAGAACATGGGTAGAAGACCATTGTTAGGTATAGAAAGATTAACTTCTCACTCACTAGACTTTACTAATACAACCACCTAGAATGAATAGAAACAAGTGAGCAGAATCCTGATAGTTGTCACTGTTCTGTTTGAGAGGTTTTTAGGACCTTATGTCAGCATGGTCCCTCCTTGTTGCCAGGGCACACCCCCTTCTCAGAGGCTAGGGTGGTCTGAAGTGGAGAAAACTGCCCTCCATATAAGGAGGGTTTGGGATACCCCAGAGGCCCTGTAGAGAGCAGAGTATTTACTCTGTGGGAAAACAGATGAGAAAGTCTACCCCCGAATCCTAGTGACCCCTCACTAGCTGTTCATTTTGGCTTCTTCCCTCACATATGCAATGGTCTATGTGAACTATTGTAAAGGAGTAAGAATATTAAATATGGTCAAAGACATGGGTTGAAATCTTTTGTATGAACTTGAAGACATCACTCAAAACTTGGAATCTGTTTTTCTCATCTATAAAATGAGTCTCCCCTCCTCTACCCTCCTCATAGAGTTAGCCTAGGGATTAAATGAAATCTGGTATGTGAAAGCACCACTCAAATAGAAGGTGTGATTATTTACCCATGAAGATGGTGACTCACTTAGTCTGTATGAAAGGTCTCCCAAGCCCCATGGAAGCAAATGAGAGCTGGCCGTGTTAGCACATGCACTTGTGACAGAAGCTCCCCAGGAGGGGACCCCCAACAGCCCAGATCAAAGGCTATGAGCTTCTACAATGGGAATCAAATGTACTTTTTGAAAGCGGGATATATGAGGTTTGCTAAGGAAGGGATATAGATAAGTGGTGATCTTGTGTAAAAGCAGTGATAGTGTCAAGGCTTAGCTCAGAGATGGTTAACAGCATTTACCTTAGAATTACGCTGAGGATGAGGGAAGAAATGAACAGCAGACATGCTTCTCTTGAAGGTAAAACAGCAAATTACAATGTCTAACGCTCACAGGCCTGGGCTTTGACAAGTTACCTAATATGTTTTTAAGCCCACTTCCTCCTCTGTAAAAACAGAGAATGGAAGCCACGCATTGGCTGGTTATGAGATTTTAGAGGTAACCTAGGTAGACACACTACCTGATTCAACGTGCCCAGTCAGTACAAGCTACTGAGTAATACTTTGTCTGAAGGAGAGAAGGTGAACGTTTCTGTCAAGACCAAGTCAGACATCTGCTCTTTTAAAATGAGATTTATTGTACAGAAAATAAATTAATTACAGTTGAAGCCAAAGAATGAGTGGCTTTTAAAGTGCATCTGTGTAGGGGATTTGGGGGTGGCCTCTGCGCCTACTCATTCCCTGTTTTCATATTTCAGCCACCAAGGCCACGACTCAGCCAGGCTCAGAGCAACCCAACATCATTACCATGAGCCATTTACACAAATCACACCAACATCAATGAACACATTTTTTTTGTACCTGACACAAATTAAGAAAAAATAATATACAATCTCAAAATCCTGGATTGAAGAGTCCTTAACCACTCAACACAGGCCCAGCTAAACATACTCCTGCGTCAGGAGACAGCTCCTTCCAGCAGGCCCTATAAGCTATACACACACCATCTGACCCATGAACTCCAGCCTACTTTGGGGGTTGGGGGGGAGGTTTCTGCCCTCCTTGTTCTTTAAAAAAAAAAAAAAAAGGAAATCTGGGTATCCTGCAGGTTAGAAGGATATTCTAGAAGGAACAATGTCCCAGAGATGCAACTCATGAGAAAAAACAACTCTTCCTCTTGGGGAGAAAAGGGAGGGAGAGGACGCTGAGTTGTCATCTGTCCTTCACTCCCACTGTAAATCACATCATATATTTGGTGAAACTACAACTGACAGGCATTTACAAGGTAAGAACAAAATCCAAAGCCGCCATGGCCCTCCCCACTCCAGAGCAAAGGCCGTGAGTCCATTTCACATATTTAGAGTGGCCGAGGGCCCCTTTAAGCCTCATCAAGTCCATTCTCCTGCTCCAAACCAAGCTTTTTCTGCAGCAGTGGCTCAGGCTGTCCAGCCCCTCTTGCTCCAGCCCTTTCTGGAACCATGAATTACTGCCAGCATTCAATGTTCCTAGCTGTGAGAAGCCCGGGCCCACCTCCCGGGAAGACCATGCCCCTGGAGTGCCCCAGCTTCAGACCGAGGTGACAGTCCGAACTTTGGCAGAAAGGGCTTGCTTGAATCTCCGCTTCAGGTCCTGCATGTTGGGCGATTTGGGCCGGGGGATGAGGGAGGTTCTTCGCTTCTCTGGGGTGTTGCTGGGCTGCTGTTTATGACTCACTTCTTTGCAGAGGACGTGAAACGCGTTGTAGACATCATTGTAATTTTCGCTGACGGACACTTCGTAGAAGGAGCAGCCCAGCACGTTGGCCAGCTGCAGTCCGAGCTGAGGATCGACCTGCTTGATGTGCAGCAGGTCGGCTTTGTTAGCCACGACCACCACAGGCAGCCTCGCGCCCAGGTGGAGCTGCTGGACGTGCTGGTGCAGCTGGCCAATCAGTTCGTAGCTCTGATAGTCGGTGATGGAGAACACGAGCACCACGGCGTCTGCCCAGCGGATGCACCTATTCAGCTGTTCTGTGCAAGTCAAGCTGTTTTCCTGGACCTAAAAGAAATGGGTGACCACAAGGTGAAGGGTGAGTACAGCCCACTGGCCCAGCTCGGCGGGACGGAGAGTTTAAACGAGCCCCTGACAGTAACGCCAAGGTTGCAGGCCATAAACAAGTTCCATCTCCACACACTTCGGCTTTCTTGACAATATGTTGATCCAGCTGCAGAGTTGGAATAAATAACAGTGCAGCTTTCCACACTCGTGGAAAATTGACCTGCAGAGAACTCCATGCAGAGAAGCTTTGTAGTTGCACAAAATGGGAAATTAACTGGCTAGACAGTAAGTCTGGGGAAGGAAAGATAGGAGCTGGAAGCATTTAAACCTGGATAACTGCCCAGTTAAAGAGGAAACATACACACAAGCATGGCTCTTTTGTCTATGGAGTAACTTTCCACAATCTAAAAGTGATTCCAAGTATCTGGAGGTGATACCCAGATATCTGATTTTTAATGCCCAAAACACAAATGTTAAAAATGACCTTTTTCATTTTATCAAGGAAACTGTGTCAATTCTAAGTGTGTCTGGTCTTTCCTGCTAGGTAGGATAAACCTAAAAAAAAGATTTCTTTCCCTTTGTTAAATCACCCAAACTAAGCCACACTGAGGCTGCCCAATAGCTAAGATCCAAATGAAATGTCAGACTGCAGAAAAAAGTCTGGAACTGACCGCCCCAACCTCTCATCTTTCATCAAGAGGCGATGAGAATAACTGAGCAAGGAGACACCCCTCTAACCTAGTCACATATTGCCGGGCTTCTCACCTGAATACCTGGAGTGTCCTGAACCTGAATAGCCAGGGTTTCGCCTTCTATTTGTACTTGTCTGGTGTAGAGATTACCTACAAAGGGGAAAAAATGGTCACCGTCTTCCTTCTTGTACAACTTTTAAAACATTGTCATATTTTTTTTTAATTAGCAGATAATATAACCCGAACCAATGCACAAAATGAGGTGCCGTTTAGTTAATGGGCTTATTTGTTTTTGTTTTTGTTTTTGTTTTTTTAAAGCAACTATCATCTTTATCTCACATTAGTGGATCTACTAGAACCAGGGCAAAGTTTGCAAGTTTCTGGAAACTGGTTTGTCTCATTTTAAACAGAGTTTCCACATTTAGAGCATTTCCTTGAGTAAATGTTCTTGCTCAGCATGGGTGGGGTGTGTTTTACTTTTGTATCTAACCATTCTTTGATTAGAAGAATTCCACTGTAAATCACATCGATCTATTGGATCTGGTAGATAGCACGACTTGTCAGTAAACACACAGCCAACTATCTGTTGGAATAAAACTGGAGCACAATGTTAGCAAACTCTACATAAAAGCAGTGGGCTGCCACGCATGCCTCCCTTGGGACGGTTCATATAGCACATTTCAAATAACCCCCTGTAGGTGCTTTCTATGGTCCAAGGAATTAAACAATTTACTAACAGCATAAGTAGAAAGCCCTTAAACTTCCCTAGTGACTACACTTAATCACAGGGATTGAAATAGTGTCCTCTCATTTATTCAGGAATTCTCCCCCTAAAATGCTACCATCCAGTTATTTTTCTCTGTTAAGAAGAGAGAACTTTAGGTTTACAACTGCTCCCCTTTGGCCTTTGCTTTAAAAGGTCACCTCTGAAAGGCAGCCAGCAGAGGGGGTGGGGAGGAGAAGGCCATCTTTTTTTTTTTTTTTTTTTTTACGACTTTTCAGGAGTGTTTTGAAGGGAGAGGCTCTTGAGTACAAAGGGTGCTTCCAACTGGGGTCCCTATAGTTAAAACATACCAAGGAGAATACTTTCAGGCACTTGATAAAATGATGAATGGGGCTGGAATGGAATGAAGCCAGATGGCAGTTATGGGAGGGGAAGCATGGGACGGGGCAAGCAGTTGGAAGTGGCAGGCCCTGGTGCTCACACTGTCACCCTGAAGGAACCTCCCTGGGAGACACTGAAAAGAAAAACGGGAAGGGCAGCCCTGGCCCAGACTGCCAGCATTTTCCTCAAATGCATTTCCTCACCTGCATTTCTTTCGTAGTCACCAATGAATCTTTTGGTGAGGAATCGCACCACCAGAGCTGTAGGTCAGAAAATAAGAGGGCAGTTACACCGGCCCAAGAAGTAAAACTGATATTCACCCCACTGCCAGCTTGGAAAAGAGCTCCTTCAGAAAAAGCCTGCCTCCTAGGGAAAGCCACCAAGGGAAATTCCTCCCCTGCAGCTCCTTGACCCCTCTTCCAGACACCACGGAGAAGGGCTAGAAGGCATCGAGGCATTGTGAATTATGGCTCTGTCCAGCTGGAAGGGTCATTTGGCCCAGCCCCCTGCCCTGAGCCTCAGTGAACCACAGCTTTCAGCAGGCAAGCGTCTTCCTTAACCTTAAAGGGTATCCAGGAGGGGGTGAGAGTCCCGAAGTCCCCTTTCTGGTGTACAGGTACTATCAGAGGCCCAAGGACCCCAAAGTTCTAGTCCCAGCATTTTCCTCACGGGGAAGGGCACGGGGAAGGGCGCCTGACCACCCGGGATCCTAGTTTCTCTCCTCAGTAGGAGGAGCGAGGAGGGAGCTGTCCTTCCCGAGGGGGAGCGGATCTAAAGGGAGGGTGGGCGGTCCAGCTGCAAACCTCCTCCCGCCCCGAGCCCCGTCTCCCCACGCTTGTTTAGCTTCAATTCCCCTCCCCACCGCCTGCGTCCAGCAAAGCAATCGGCGGCTTCTCTGCAGAGCGCAGGACTCACCGGTCTTGCCCACGCCGCTGGCGCCCACCACGGCGATTTTGACCAGCCGGCGCCCCGCAGCTCCCAGGCAGCAGTCGGCGGCGGCAGCGGCGCTGCCCGGGGCGGGGTACTCGGCGATGGTGCACATGTTCTGGATGAGGCGCATCGCCGCTCCGGCCCGGGCTGCACCGACGCGGCTGCACCAGGGCTGGGAAGGAGGCTGATCCCGCGCGCGAGCGGGCAGGAGGGCGGGATCGCCCGGGTTCCGCAGCTTGTAAAAACAAAACAAAAAGAGCCCCGGAGCGCGGCCGCACGGCGGCTCAGACCTCTGAAGATGCAGGCTGGGGCTGCACCCGGCCGCGCGCGCGC